AATTTAGATGAAGACCAGGTCATATTTTGACTCCTTAAAAAACAGGCTTATTACATACTCAGACTTATTATTCAGTAACAACAAGGACTTCAATGCAAACTAGCTGAGCTATTCTTATGCTACAGAAGTGTGTAATAAACTTGGGCCTGCTGGTGAGCCCTGGCCATTTATTGGGTTAAGATGACATTTTACATAAATGCAGGTAATTCATATTCTTCTTCTTACCACTGTACATGATTGTGGCAGGCCTTAGGTTAAGGCTTACCTGAATTAACCTCCCACTCTCCAAACTTGCCACCCCCTTCAAAGATCCTTGAAATGTTAGGACAGAAACCGCAGACACTTGAGATGTACTTTATTGAAACGGAAGAATAAGAAGCTTTATTAGAAATCTATTGATTTACTGCCAGACCAAAAAACCCCATGATATAAACGATATTGATCCTTTAAATATAAAGCTACTCCTTATTTATTAAACCCCCTTTGTTGGCAGCTTGCATGCATAATGTGCTCTGTGTGTGTTTGTGTATTTGCAGTTAGTGTGTGTGTGTGTGTGCGAGACAGAGAGAGAGATTGAGAGAGAGAGTGTGTGTGAGCTACCTTGTAATCCCAGTCTTCTACAGTAAAATGCATCTGTGAAGAGACGCGGATGAAATATGGCTCTTAAATAACAATACAAACGTGTTTAGTTTGTACTTCATTTTTCTTATGTGTCGCAGAGAGCTATGAGCTTTATGGGAAGTCATTACTCATCATTACTGCTGAAACACAATGGCTTTTAATTGGTCTCCGACTACCCATTCGTGTCCCTAAGCTCGTAGTTATCTCAGCTTCTAGTCTTTAATTCACCAGATTGTTCCACTCGTATGGCTTAGTGAAGTGTAGCCGTGCGATGATGACACCGACTGCAACCCATCATTTACAGCCATTATGTCTGAAGCTCTGATGGCCATCCTGGGCATCTCTGGGGTTATACTATAGCAGCTCACAAGTCTTTAAAAGATCTATCACTACACATCCCACACGTTTTATGAAGCAAACCTTCTATTCTCACTCACTCTCACTGTCTTTAAAGAACTTCAAAGCCTGGACCTTTAGTTAGTACACGGTTAGGAGACGTGTCACTTAAATAATAGATCACCGAGTGAAAGAGTACTATCAGCTCAGAGTTGTAGTGGGTTTTATGTTGTGGAGTTCAACATATGGACTGCCAGGGGCTGAGCTATAGGGGGCGCAGTGGGGTGCGGCTAGGCCTGGGGGTGGGATAAGATAGAACATTTGCATGTGAGTGGGAGGTTATTAAAGGGGAATTCCACCAAACAAATTTCCACACTATTCAATTGTTAGTAGAATTTACCCAGTTTTCCATTTACCCCAGGTGTAGTCAATCAGCCAAGACATGCTTGTCAAGTCCACATTTTGTTATTTAGGTTAGGAGGTACCAGGCTAACATGGCTAACAAACACTAGAACTCATTAGTCACCCGGATTTCCCAAATACCATGTATAATGATGAAATTATTCAATGATATTGAAGTTATTACTGCCATTTTGCTCTGCTATCAAATTTAAATATGTTATTACTAATTAATTACATAGTTACTGAATTTATAATGTTTACATTTGGCTTACATTCTGTATCAACAGGTGCAGGTCAGCATTTCTGACTTTTTTTCTGTTTCAAGATGACAAAAAATGTGGTTTTTTTTTGCCACATTTTTGTCATTTCTTTTGTCAAAAATGACAAAAATGTGGCATTTTTTCTGCAAAGCAATACTGTGCCCAATTCAAAATGTACAACATTCAAAATATGTCCTCCTCTGCATATTGTCACTTCTACAAACATGTATCTCCATTCTTGTCTATTTTTATTTTTCTGTGTCAACTGAAAATGCTTGCTGTCCTTTACATTGTATGAATATTTTATTATGAATGGACCAATATAAATCCTTCAAAATCACTTTGAAAGTACATTAACCTATATTAAAAGTAGTGTTTTTCATTGGACATGTTTGAACAGCAACGACATGAACTTCACAGTAATTGAGAAGAATTTCTTCACCTATTTTGATGAACTGTGATTTAGAAATAAGATATAATTATTGTGTTAGCACTGCCATTAACTGTATCTTCTAAGTTTACATTGACTTAATTTATATTTAATTGATAATATTTAATTATGCCTCACATAAACCAAAGCAACTAATACAATACTTTAAATACAGCTCTTTTGAATTGTGCACTTGCAGCTAAATAGTGTGGCTCACTCCCATACGAGTGCTCATGTCCTCATTAGCAACATTCACCAGTGAGCAGGCACTTAAGCCAGCGGTATACTTCAAATGATGAAAGAACTAAACAAATCGCTGAACACGCTGTCATAAGTACGCATTAAAAGAACTTGGTGTACATCTTTCTAGGACAGCCCGCCCCGGTAGAGGCGCCAAATACTTTTAAGGGGGGTTGTGAGCGGACCTGTCACTGTGACACAAACACAGGACAATTAAACAAACAGTAATGGTGGCACTAAAAGAAGCAAGAATGCGAGAGAGAGAAGTTGGCAGAGAAACAATTAGGGATAACAAAGGGCTGCATGCAAACAAGCAAAAGAAACTGAAATTTGAATATTCCCACCGCAGTGATGCAGGCAACCATGTGACATGTGGACCAATCACAGAAGGGAGAGGTTTTAGAACAAAGAGCGCAGTGATTATGAGTTCTGTTGTCTGTCTGGCACATACTTTGGCTAAATATGTTTGTTTGCTTGTGAAGGCGGCCAGCTTTAGCCATCTTACCCTCCTAAATCAGAATTTCTAACATCATGCTAGATGTCCTACTCTGAGATGCCTTGTCTATGAGGTAGTAGCATACATAATGAAGACATTTCAACAAAAGGCAGCAAGGATACTGAACACTTCAAGCCAATCAAAGCACAAAGCAAACTAATGGCAGTTCTACTAAGTGTTCCTGGCATAGCTCAGACACCAAACTTCTTATTGGCTTAGATTAGGGGTCAGAAACATGTAGCTCCAGAGCTACATGGAGCTCTTTTACTGCCCTGTTGTGGCTCCACATCAGAATTTTAGGTAAAAATAAAATAATCCTCCTTCTCAATAAAATGAGGCTCTGCTGGTCGTTCTAACAGTTTTAACAGTACATGATCTTAAACACTGGAGTTATTGTAAAACTGCAAATTCATCCTTTAACCCTGAAGATTGGCATGCAGACTACTGGTCACCATAGCAACGCAGACAACAACCTTGCCTGGCTAGCAGCTAACGAAAAGGAAAAGAGAAAGATTTAAGACAACCATTGATAATTTGGAGACGAATGGACTTATTTGTGTTTATAATCACTCCAGCTGGTTTTCTGATACATTTAATCTGCAATGAGAAACTGTCAAACACTAAAAAGTCACAAAGCTTAAGTCAGCTTCTCATTCGCCAGCTTCTTGTTCAGATTTTCCTGTTCCACCTTAAATGGTGCAACAGTTAGCTACATAGCTACATTCTGGCACCTCAGGCACCATTTAAGGTGGAAGGGGAAAATTCAAGAAGCTGGCAAATGAGAAGCGACTTCAGCTTTGTAAAAAGTCGAATGTTGAGGGAAATTTTACATGAAACTGTTCTACTTCTGAGGAAATTTTTCCTGCTAGAGATGCGAGAAAAGCAGCTGTAGCTGAGCTAAAGCTTAAAGCAGAGCACAGTAAGTACATTAGCATATATTGAGACATATTTACAGCCAAGATGGTGAAACGTTAGTTCAATAAAATGGACATAAAATGTTGCAGCTCCCAGTATGGTTAGATTTGTTGAAACTTGACAAAATGGCTCTTCGTAATATTTGGGTTGCTGACCCCTGGCTTAGAACAAAAGCAGCAAAGCCCCTACAACATTCCAGTTTTGTTTGTTTTTCAGTTTGCCAGAACAGCCATGATGAACCTTAAGCTATTAAAAAAAGCTTATTAACAAGTTAATAATCTTAAGATTTCTTATGCAGTAACTATTGTGAAGCTAATATGTTGGGTATGTAGAATGAAAGCAAGGCCCTGCTGACAGGACCAGTTTCTGAGTGCTACCAGGTTTTCTATCACTGTATAAAAGAAGCTCCATGCTACCTTTATTGTTGGATGCATTGTGTTTAGTTTCTGAGCAGTCATGCACATATTCATCATGGAATCCACATCTCAGCAACGATATGAACTTCACAGAGAACTTTACAGAGAAACAAACAACTGAGATAAAACAGTTGGCTATTTCATCAGAAAAATTATAAAAAAAAGATGACAGAATTCAGAAGTATAATTGTGACACACAATAGAAATGTGCAAATCGACAGTTTTGTCTGATGTTCTTTTAATGTTAAAATAATTATAATGAGTAATGAACCTGATTGATTTAAAGTCAATTAAACTTCAAATAATATATTAATACATGAAAAACACAGATTGTTGTTCTGTTAATGTTCAAAGTTCAATTAATTCTAAATTTAAATTAAACTCAACCAGGGAACAAACTTTTTAGATTATTAATTAATTTGCTTTTTTTTTTTACGAGCATTGAGAAATTACATTATTAGCTATTAGAAGTAACAGTTATCACCAGACAAAAACATCATGTAATTGGTTATTGAATATTTCTTGTAGCTCATTTAAAAAAGCAGAGATCTTTTTGTTGTCACTGTGGATTCCAAACTTAAAATTTGTTTATGTTCTTGGTTGTATTATGATTTGAATGTGTTTTTTCCACATTGCTGTTGTTTTCTTGCCATTGGGACAAGCATAAAATATAGAGAAACTAACATGTCGATACAGAATGGAAATCAAATGTCAGTGTTATTCAGTTGCATGACTTACTATATAACAAAACTAGCCATAACTCTCAGGTTCAATGGTTTGAAGGTGAAGAGCTGGAAATGACTTGCCTTTATGCCGATACTAGAACAGGTAAATAGTGGAATGCATTTTGAAAGTGTCATCTCCTCTTTGTTTTGTATTTCCAGACGTGCTTCCAGGATCAGCCCAAAGTCTTCGTCCTGTTCTTCTGAGCATGCCGCTCCTTAGCTCCCTGTGCCTCTGTGTCCTGCTCCTGTCCAGATGATGGGCTACACTCTTTTACGCTCCCTCGCGCAGGTCGCCCCCATGGCAGCAACCAGCACTGCCCAGACACGTTCCTTCCCCTATCCCTCATCTTTCCTCCACTAAATTTTTATCTTTTCTGTTTCTTTTTCTCCTATTCACATTTTACCTCATTTTTCCTGGTCACCCTGCTTTATCATCCTGCATATATCTTTTTAAAGTCTTTCTGTTTTCTGTTGCTACTTTCCGTTCAAATTTAGCATCTTGGTATCAATTTGTATGGCTTCTCTGACCTGCAATGTGACACCATAGCTGAATCCTTTTATTTTAAATTCAACCATACTTAATATTCACATCACATCAGTATATTTCTATATGTTTGTTTTCCCCCACCATCCTACCTCTGCGCCCCTTTCTATGTTGCCGACACACCAAAGTGTCAACTATGCTACCAAAGATGATGGCGGTTCCTCAGACGAAGAGAAGGTTGGGGCGAACATGGGGCCCCTCAAAGCAACTTATCTCTCCCCTTTAGCTGAAGCTGCACGGAAATGCGGATCCTCAGGACGGATTAGCAGAATGTAAGGTTGAGAGTGCTACAAAAAGCGAGGATGGCCGAAATAAAACAAGAGTGAACTTCATGTTTGACCGAGTTCGATGACCTGAATGGACCACAGTCTGTACATTTACATGTATATGATATATCACGTAAGTATCAACAACAGAACACGAATGGACAACGACTGCAACTTCTCAGACTATGATAAAGTTAAATTAAAGAAGCACAAATTTATATGCTTTTTTGTAAACATTTTGGTTTCCCTGTGTGGTATTTTGTCCATCTACGAATTTGCTGTATGCCTTGTCCTTTGGCTTACTTTACGAGAAACGAGTTTTCCTGTCCTGCTGCTGATATATCAACTTGGCGGAATGGTGGTCGAACACTGAGGGTTTGACTTCATCAGACACTTCTGCCCTTCACCCAGCATCTCCCAGGTCTGTGAAGAACCTGTGCAAATTGGGGGAATGACAATCCATCTTACTCATAAGTTAAACCACATGTGCAACACTGGCTGAGTTTCAGAGTGCACTGACCACTGGCTAATTAAAGAAAGTTGGAATTTGGCATCTCTATTTGAGATACCAAAAGAAAGAACATGAAATCTGTTTGGACCTACAGATGGACACCTCCAGAGAGATGGCTTGTAAGCTACAGAAGAGGATTCGGGTTTTCAGAGTGCATCCATGCATTTCATGAGAGATAATGAATGTCATATAGGGACTTCACTGTTCGTCAGCTGTGGTGTGGACACTTTTAAAAAGAAACGGACGGGACTCATAAGCAGGGCAAGGTCATTTTGGCACATCTTGACAAAACGACAACGTCTTTCAATTAAATGTCTTCAATAACTAATGAACACCAACATTTCATATTAAGCAATACAATATATTATAATAATGATTTAAAACATTCTGCAAACTTCAGCACATGTTTTAGCGAAATGTTCAGAATCAATGCTTTGAGCACACGCTTATTCAGACAACAGTTTCTGTGAGCCATTTCTTCTGGTCATTCTAACTGTTGGGACCAAGGTCCCAGGGGGTGCATCAGAGTTCTATATTAGGTCCTCTGTGGAATCGATGGTGTTTAATTCGCATGTGATTAATCGAAATGACCATACAAAATGCAGACTTTGTGGAGTGTTTAGAGCACAAAGCGTATTATACGGATCACACAAGAAATGGAAGAAACCATGTGTGCCTCTGGAGTATCCACAAGATGGGTTGAATGGTCATTTTAAATTTAGATAGATGCTATCATACAATCATATATAAATTTGCTTTGACCCAGTATTGTTCATGTTGACATCCTCTGTCGTCCTAGTTCAACGTTTTATCACCAGGCTTTACCGTGAGACAACTTAGAATTCTGAAAGTGCGAAAAATAGTGTGGATCTTCTCATTCTTGGCCCCTGCTTGTAAAATTCGCTCGCACTCATATTTAATCAACTCATATTTACCTTAAGATGCAATATTGCTTGTGTCTGCTGCCATTCCATGTAGCGTGATGGGTGTTGACTTGGCATCTCAGGTCATTTTCAAAAGTAGGTAGCAGTAACAGAGCCTTCTGGACTTCTCTTGCCTCTGGTCCAGTGTACTGTACATCCTTTAGTCTTTAGCCATGTTAGCCATACCAGTTACCATAGATGCTAACTCTGCACTTGCCTTCACTATTAGCACATATAATCAGCCATTTATCATAATCAAAGTTAAGCACTGAAATACTTCCAGAAATAATCAGATTTAAGATGGCAAAGACGATGAGCTACAGGGGAAGATTACATTATTCACTAGCTTTGGGCTCTTTTATTGTACTCTATTCATTTTCAAATGTGTTTTTATTTATGGTTATCAGTATTACATATGTGGATTTAATTAATATCATTAACACTACAAACATGCCTATACTGAGCAACACCCATCCATTATTACCAATTTACAGTACTGTGCAAAAGTCAGAGACCACCATTCATTTTTTTTTAAATTTCTAGTCAAAACGGCCATTGAGTTTTTCTTTTTTCGTTTACTCATCATCAGAAAAAGAAGAAAATATGTATTGAATAGAAAATTACCCAGAATGATCAAAAACTAAATATAATATCAGATTTTTCAGTATTTACCTTTATTAAAGATTCCACTCTTGTTAGATCACTTGAATTCAGTTTTTCTAAGAAATCAGCAGGGATATATATTTTTTTAAAACCTCCAAAGTTCAGTCTTAGCAGTTGCGTTTTCTGCATCTTGCGATCTGCGTAATCCCAAACATGTTCAGTGATATTCATGATGTCCATTGGTTTGAGGACACCAGTGACTTCCTGGTTTGTTTGTGTTGTGTTCTCACAATAGAGGGATGGACAGAAACACCTGTTGATGTTTTCAGATCTGAAGCAAAAGTGTAGCTTGATTTTCTCCTCTCTCTCAAAGATGGAAGCGTTAAGTGGTGTTTATCTGATGGTAAATGTTTTAGTGGTTTACTAGATCTATATTTTCATAATTTTTTGAACTCCAATTTTGGAAACTCCTGTTTTTTATATATATTTCCTTTGTTTTTGCCTTCCTTATACAAGTGCAGTATCTTATATCTGATCTCAGAAATATCTGCTGAAAAAAAATGACTTGTGCTGAATGGCCATTGGCCATTTTGACTGGAAATTATATAAATGAAAGGTGCTCTGACTTTGGCACAGTACTGTATTTTGGTGGACATTCTGGTAGCACTGTTGAGAGTTCAGATGAATGTCAACACAGTGCGTGTACAGGTGAAATGGTCAATTAAATGAATCCTAGAACATCTTATTTCCATCATAGTTCAGCACTTTCACCAGATTTATCTGTTTATTAATTCTGTACTATCATTCTGTGAGGGGCTATGTGCATTGACAGCCACTATATAATATACACACTCATTTCTATGGGATTTGCCTCTGTGTGTGTGCGTGTGTGTGTGTGTGTGTGAGAGAGAAATAGATTAGCTACAATACTGGTGCATTAAAATAATGGTTATGGAAATGACTGTGACCCACAGTTGTAGCAGTGTGGGTGAGTAAGTGGAGGGGAGGCATGGTGAGAGAGTGTCTCTCGCCCTCGCTGTATTCTTCTAATGGCACTGAGCTGTTTTTTTTTTTCTGTATTGTGTGACTTCCCCCACCACTGAAACACGTCTCATTTTTTGCAAAGGTCAGTTTCATTGCTTAGAGGTAAATGGGGCTTAGATGAATGGACGCTCGTTCGCCTTAAATGACCATTAGATGAGCAGTGGAGAATGTGGTATGTAAATGAACGAAAACATGGACTTCACATCACACCAAACCTCAGGCGTGATCTTAATTCCTCAACATAAAAACATCTGACCAACTGTCTTTAAAATGATGGAATTCACTGCAGCTTTAGAATCTCCGGTTAATGATCCCGAACAGTTTCCCAAAGCTTTGCAGCATTAGGATGATCTTTAAGAGAGGTTTGAGAGCGATAGTAGCTGTGATATTTAACCCTTAGAAGTCGAGTTATTGTTGTTTTGCTACAGCATTGAAATTGTCACTGTCAGACCTCATAAATCCTTTTTTTAAACGGCATTTAAAATCATCAACTTGCCTTTTACAGTAAGTGAACATTTCATGGTGAACAGTGGAAATTACTCAAATGAAGTAATCCATTACAAATTGCTTATTACTTCTCTCAAACTTTAATGGGAGTACCTGACCTGAAAAAAAATAATTACTTGTTGCTTTACTTCTAAGTTACTCTCTAAAACCTATATAAATAAATGTACCATCTGGAAACCCAGTAATCCTTTTTAGTCAGTTGTTTGGAAAGAAACAGCCAATCATGGTAAACATCATTTAAAAGATGCCATTATCTTTGCCTTTGAACAAGACAAGCTTGATACTGGTGGAAAAAACAGAAACTAGCCAGTTCAAAAACAGCTGCCTCCAAATAAAATCCTTACACATAAAATATTTTCATTTCTGAATTAAAATCGAGTTTGTTCTGGAAGATCAAGGTGAGATTGGGTCTCTCTTCTTCAGCATGGGAATCTTTATCTGTCTGTTTCATAGTAGTGAGATTAGATGCTTTGACAGATTGTTGGATGAGTTTACGTTGCTTCCCACACTTGCGCTGTTCATATTCACAATCAGAGTTACAGTCAGTTGATAGAAGTAGCACACATGTAAATCTATACAGAGGAAATCTACAATTTAAATGCATCCCCTAAATGTAATACTGCTCTAATAGATACATATGAGTAATACAAGTCACATTTTCCTCAAGTCAGTAACTGTAAGTTGATGGCAGTGACAATACTTGTGCAGTTACATACTGAATTACATTTACATTTAATCTGCAGTAACACTTTACATTAGGGTCGCAAATTATTTGATAATTATATGTTAATAAGTAATTAAATACTTATTTTTTATATATAAATTACCTGCTCATTAAGCATTAGGTACTGCTTAAGTG